TTGTGGGGCACCACTTCGTCCAATTGGCCCGATCAGTTGGCACGGAATTTGCGCAAAGGGATCGATCAACCTCCGAAGGCCTCGAGTGGAGGGTGGCACCCCATTAAGATCACCTGAATAATTAAATCCGAGGGTACCGATAAGTCCCCCGAAACTAGTTCCAGAACCGAAGATCCGGCGATATTGGAAACACGTTCCAAGCTCCCATGAAGGAGAAATTAATAATTTTCAATTAGCTCCGTCGCTGTCGATGTCACGCCCTGTCTCCCCGGCGGTTTCCTAAACTTTTTCGGTTAAGTTGGGCTCGAACCTCTAAGTGCAAGCTTCCAGCCTCTAAGTGATTGCTTAAACCTTTCCGAAGTGCATCTCCAGCGTGCTCGTTATCTCCGATTTATGGGGACTTGCGCGACCTGGTTCGACTTCACTTATGCTGATTAAAAGGAGCTACAATGCGACCCGCGAACAACAAAGACAAAGCGTGTATACTTTTTCATTTTTTTTTCCCCCCTTTTTGTTCTTTCTTTCTCCAGCTTGGTTGCGCAGGTTACAATCAGTTTCACTTTCCCGTCTGCCACACTTAACGTCTGAAGTGACTTCGCTGGGGGTTTGTGCATATTTTTTTCTTATCACAGAATTTCCGCAGATCATTTCCGTATTCGAGCACCTCGGTACAGGTCTGTTCTTAATTCCCACAGTTCCGCTCCTTAATCAATATTTCCGACATAACGTTGCAGTGCCGCCCACTCGCAATTTCCCTCTCCCGGATCCCGTTTATCAGCGACCTGTAACATTGCCAACGCCAGTTTTAAGAAGTAGGTTAAACCGGGTGCCGGAACTTTCGGAAAATCCATAACTCGTAAAGACGTCCGGAGAAGATGATACGTGAGTGGTACGGACCCACTCGATGTTATTAACAATCGTTATGCAGTATTTCCCACCGCCCCCGCCCTGAAAGCCCTGATAAAAAATGACCCCACGTAGCCTCTCGACTTCCCCCCCTTTTTTTCCCCCCAATTTTCCTCAAGATGGAGGAAAAGAGCCCGGTTTTGGGAAGTAGGTTAAACCTGGAAATTTCCTGGGATCTAGAAAAGCTGAGCGGACGAGAGGAGATACCTGTGATAACGCGATAAGGGACGAGGGTCACCCTTTTGTCCCACTCCTCGACGACCAAGGAATTAATCCATAAGTTCTAGATTTATAAGTATGTTCAAATTAAAGGTTAAGTGAATTTTTTTCGCGGGCTGGAAAAGAAAATTGGGTTGCAGAGGTGCCCGGAAATGTCGTGTAAACGATTTTTAAAATCCTCCCTGGGGGGCAGGAACGCCTCGGGTGATAACGCGATAAGAGTCCTGTGTCCTTAGGCCAAGGGCTGCATTTGGACTCGATCGAATCCGGTTAAGGGGAGGCCAAAGACGGTAAATGGTCCCTTTCGACGCCATTGGGCACGACGTCAGGGACGTGCCTTCTTTGGCACTCCATCCCCGGATCGATAGGCTTTCGCGCCGGAGGTCGCGCCTATGCAATCTCTGCAGCCCTTGCCGAAGGGTTACTTAACCTCTGCATCGGCATTGCAGGGCCATGAAAGCATTCATCCTGGCCCTGCAATTAGATCCCATAGAAGTGAAAAGTGGGTGACGTTCCCGCGACAACTTTCGGGGAAGTCGGCCGTCAGTCTGCGAACTTCGATATTAGTTGAGAAGATGCGTCGATACACGCGAAGGGAATAATCCCTTCCCTCAAGGATCTGCAATAGGAGGAAAGGAAGTAATATATTCGATACCAAGAAATGTTCCAAGATTTAATATTTTCATTAAATTGCTGGGTCGGGATTTTTTTTATCAGGGTATTATTCGAGTGGGTTCGAGTCAGGGACGCCATGTTTTTTTTTCGTTAACCCCTGGCCACTTTCGACTCTTCCCTTTTCAATCGACGATCGAGACTGTGCATTCTTCCGGAAGGGTGGACCTGGTCTTTCCGGGCGAAAACTTAATTCCGTAACAGAAGTAATTTTCCCTCGCAGACGTTCCTACGTGCTCGTAATTCCGTCCACGTTCCTTCTTACGCGTGACCAAAATACTCTCGCACCCCTCCCGGGTCACGTAGTGTCTCATCCCCCGCGAGGAGCATCGCGGTTATAATTATCCCCGGTTACAGGCTACGCTCGTAGCAATTTCGGAAATATCTAATCGAAAGAAGCACTCGTAATCTATATTCGACATAATCGAACTGAACTTCGGAGGACTCGTTAGGGTCATAAGAGAAAAAAAAATGTCCGACACGCAGGACCAGCGAAATCGGGCAGGTGCGCCGCCCTTCCTCGAGGATGGGTCTTCAGGGTTCGTCTCCAGGGGGCAAGTCCGATTACGGAGACGCCTTCTAGATCCTCTTTTAACCGGGATAATTTTATCTCTCCCCGGAAAGGCAGCTGCGCCAGGACGAGCCCTGAATAGGGAGAGAGAATCTCGGTCGGAAGGGTTGGACATTTGACTTTGTGGGTTAAATAATTTTGTTTTTATTAGGAAGGTGGTCGACGATTAACGCATTTAATCGGGTGGGACGGGGTGGACGAGGAATATCGCTGATTTCGACATCGGCAGTCCTTCCGAGGGTGCTTTTCGAGGCGGAATGATGTTATCAGAGGGACCGAAGGACGCTCCGTAAGGGATGCTCCGCGGATAAGAGAGTTATCTCTTGACGTCTCGGTCGGTCCTCCGGCCTTCCGGGATCTCTCTAATAAATCAGATCATTTCTTCTCCAAGGACTCTCCCCGTCGCGTTATGCAATCGGTTTATTGGATCCGCGCGTTACGGCTAGACTTTCCGCTGAGGCCGTCTCGCGAAGTTATGGCCGAACGAATCTGCAAGCCGAGAAATGGAAACGACACACCTACGAGGGTACAGCTGAAGCTTACGAGGGTGTCGCGACGCGTCATTTCGTGAAATGAATCTGCATCGGTGATAAGAGCGATCGAAACCGAAAAATTCACTCCTAAACACCCACCGACCTGGAGACACCTGATAAGATCCCTTAGATAAAATAAACCCTTCCAGAAGAAAATACAAAGTGAAATACATATCTCTAATTATCACGCACTTCCTCGAAGCGTGCATTGAATAATCAATTTATTTCGCTTTTAGTCCCCGTTTTAGAAATTTTCCAAGACGTCTCCAGGAAGAGTTAAGACTCGAACGGATCAGATTTATCCCGATTGCAATTTCACTGTTTTCGCTAAGGTAACTAAATCCAAGAAAAGCCATCCCAAGTCAAGATGAACTCGGTGCCCAATTTTATTAGGGCGTTTTCCGTCCGTTTTCCGGAATCGACGAACCTATTGAAAGCTCCACAGGTTTCTGGATCGTTCTTATCCATTTTCGAAATTTCGGGCGGAAATGCGGTGAGAGGATCGAAGCTCTGAGGGAGGATTAGAGAAAAGGGATTTAGTGTCGATTCCATTACTCCTGCGGATTCTTCCTTGGGGAGGAAATTTCTTCATTTACCTCGTTCCCTAAATTTCGTTAGACGCGAAAGCTCCGACCTTTATGGCGCAATCTTTACGCGAGGCTTTTATCCGGCATTTCGTTGTCGTTCTCTAAATTTCCGAGTATATGTGTCATTACTGTCGCTAGAAGTGTCGAGGAGCGCTCCTTGGGAAAGGTCAGGTCCTCGATTCCGAAGGTGGAAGGTCCAAGTTATCGGGAAAAGGGGTTCGATAGCAGCCGAACAATGCTTTCGAGAGATTACTCGACCTGGGCAGGACATTTAGATCTGGTTACCCTGAGTCGTAAACATTTTATAGGGACGTCCTGTAGACGGAAAGTTTCAGGATCTCCAGAAGTCCTAGATCTACTTAAATTCGGAGCATCGATTTTACGCGATTGTCCTTTCTTTCCGGGACATTCAATTTATTCGTAATTACAGAAAGGATGACATTAAAAAATCGGCCAAATCTATTCATGCTGAATAATACAATATAATTAGTAAGAAAGAAAATTGGGAAAAATTCGAAATTTGCTAAATTACGGATTTTTACTCACTCGGTTCTATCACATTACTTAAGGGAGGCCATGCCAGGTTTTGCCGAGGTGATCTAATTTTTCTTATTTCACTTGAGATTGGAAAAAAATATATATATATCACCCCCTTGCGTTGATAGCATGATCCGATTTCCTCAGCCCGGAAATGAGAACTTAATGTCGTGAAGCTGATTTACCGCGCAATTAATCGAGATATTTTCTACCCAATATCCGTTTCAGATAGGCACGTAAAGATCGCGTTTACTTAGCCCAGCCGAGCGAAGAAGAGAATTTGTCTTGCAATCCGTATCGATCTGCTTTAAACCTGGCCTCGTTTTTCTTTCCCTCTTGTCTCTCCTGTGTAAACTAAAATTAATTTCAAAGTCCTACAAGGGCACCTCCCGGATGCCGAGGTCGCGCTCCGAAACTGCAAAGATAAGATGCGCGAGAAAAGGAAGCGTTCGAAAATGAATTTCCAGAAAAACAAGGAAATTACGGCGAATTATTATAGCGAATATCCTCTGAAATTTCGCGTTGAAACTCGAAAAGATTTTAGATTCCGGAATTTTCCATAAATTCCCTTTAACCGTCATACGTCCGCCTGTTATCAATTGACCTCTTCCAATGATATGCCATGCATAAAAAAATCCTCGACTCGAAAACGAAGTGCCTTTCACTCGGAATCCAGGCTTTCGAAGTCTCGGCTACATTAAAAGAGTAAAAGGGAAAGCCGCGATCGATCGACCTAAAAAAGGGTCTGAAAGGGACTTTCGCGATTTCGCGGATCACGAGAGGATCTGCACCCGGGGGGGTTGCTAATTCGATACGTCATTGACCCCGTTACGTATAAATTGCTCGGCACCCCTTGATCTTGATTGCCCCTCCACGACCCCCCTAGAGCCCTACCCCCACGTGGGTCTCTTCGCCCCCGACGAGACCCCCGTCTCGTCTTCTACGGCCAGGGACTCTTAATTAATTCCGTTCCAGAGGCTGATAGCTGAACTGAACAAAGAGCAGGAGGCTTTCATCAACAGCAAGCACAACGAGAAGGGCGAGGCCGTCGCACCCTGGGTTGGAGCACCGAACGAGGAGGCATTGCGAAAAGAGTGCTTAGACCTGTCGAGCGTGAGTAATGTCACTTTTTAGCCCCTCGAAAAAGCCCATCCACGGACGAGATCGCGATCGATTTCGAGATCTCGACATCGGGCAAGGCGACAGTGATCGACGTCTTGGGGTGAGACCTCCAGGACGCAGCGTGGGTCCACGTGTCCAGGCAGCCTCCCGGTTACCAAGTTTGTACATCTACTCCGAATCTCTTCCAGGATCGGCGTAATTTCGTGAGAGCACCCCCTCCAGGGGTGGAGTTCGCCTGGGATTTCGAGGCCGTCCAGCCGATGGCCCAAGCCACCCTCGCCTTGGATCCCAACCTGGAGACCATGAGGTTCGAGCTGGTCCCCAAAGTGTAAGTTTCCAGACGTCGGCCTCGAGAGGAAAGATCAAAGAGGGAGATCTTTAACTGAGATGACAAATGGCTCGGTCGTGACAATGATGGATCCAAGGGTGGAGGTCGGGTCGAGTTAATTTTATTCCTTCGAGTCGTTGAAGTCATTTGTCCCGATTTCATTTCATCTTAGAGAGCAGTTTTAACAAATATTTCATTAATTATGACTCGGTACTCATGCGTTCTTCCTCTCCCCAGCATATCCGAGGAGAACTTCTGGCGCAACTACTTCTACCGAGTCTCTCTTTTACGTCAAAGCCACGAATTGAACGCAATGGTCAGCCAAACGGAAAGCAATCCTAATCAACAACCCCTTACATCCTCCGGTAGCATCGATCATACTCAAGGTAATTAATTGGCAGATTATTTGGCCTGTTTGTAGCTAAGCATTGGTGCCTGCGTAATTGCCACTGGCGAGCTGAAGGTCTGCCTGTCTGGAAATGAAATTGATGAAAAATTTCGGACAATCGAACCATCCTATCCGACGATATCTAAAGATACACTCCTCGCGGTACATGTTCTAATAAACACTTGTACACGCATTTTTTATTTTTTTTTCCCCGTCAGTTGAGTTGAGTACACCTCGGATCGGGATCTTTAATACAGGGCACTAGTCACTCCAGGCCCTATTCCCTTATTAAAAGGGTATCGACTCAATGGAAGTGCAGGTGAATAATTCATCCGGCTCTGTTCGGGCGTCATCGATCGATGCCCTTTCCGAATTCTGTTTCGAACTTGTCCGTTTTGTTAACAGAATTTACATGCGCCTTCAGTCAGCCAGTGTTTTGCATGTTTCGATCCCTTGCAGACCGGGCACGAAAAGGTCATCGTTGACACCTGTCATTGACAGAAACGCACTGGCAATGCTCGCACTTTTCCCTGCCTCGGCTTTAAGAGACGTTTTCTCTCGCCGTTTTCCATTCGAGACACGCGGCTCTTTTTGTCCCCGGTGTTTTTGTCCGACACTCCACTCCGCGAGGCTGAAGCGAGAGAGAATCGAGGAGCTTTAATTGGCAGCCGATAAAAGCATCGCCGATGCTCCCATTTCTCGACTCAATATTCCTTCGATTCGCGTCCGTCGCCTCCGCATTTACAGTACTTGCGGTGCTTGCGAAAAACCTGTACTACTTGCGGTGAATACAAGATTTGCAGCACCTGCAATACGACGAAGGATCGTTGTAACATTTTCTTGGGATCGAGATTTTAAAGGAAAATTTCATCGGGGAACCAATTAGCAAAACCGCACCCTCGAGGCGTCGCCTTTAATTTCGCCTGATTGTACACAGTGCGTTCTGCGCGCCTATATTTATTTCTCCCTTTAAATGTCAACTCCGATGTAAATATAGATTTCTGGGAGACGTGCACACCTTTCAAAAGATTTTAAAGCCGACCTCCCGAAGGGAAATGGTTACCCGTGGACGTGGAAAGGTCAAGTTAAACCGAGACATGTACTCTTGAAAATTGAACGGATAGTTAAATCCTCGCATTTCTTCGAGGATATGAAATATCAGAAAATTTTTCATAACAAATGGTCTCGTTCTATTCATAAGGACAATGATGAACTCTTGTATTTCCCCGTGTGCAAGACTCACCTCGGATGTATGTACAACGCGAATCCAATCTAGTGTCTCGGTACGCGAACTAGATCGATGTACACACATCCGACAACGCTTGCACCGAGTTCAAGTAAAAAGGGGTGGAGAAAAAAAAAATAGAAAAAGAGTGGTCTTCTTGTCGGAACTCGGTAGACGGGGAAAGTCGATACTCGATTTCCTCGGAGACCGTGGTACACACATCGAAGGATTTCCTATCGTGGTCTTAAGGGGTAAAATAAACAGCCTTTGATATCCGATCCCTCGAACCGGAGTTGCGATCGAACGAGGCTTGACGACCACCCGGAAAAAGCTGCGAGCCACCCTCGTAGGAGAAAATGGTCCTCGTCCATCCTAGAGGACTTTTTTCCCCCGGGCCTCTTCCCTTGCCGATCTTTTTTTCTCTCGTATCTCTCTCTCGTTTCCCTCGACCGAACCTCGCTGCACGAGCCCTCGGAGATCCACTAATCTAAACGAGCCCGAACGACGCCGTAAACACTTCCTCGAATCTGCCCCTACGAGGGTGTCGAAACGACAGGGTCATCCCGGTATCACTTTCTTATCAAACATTTTTTTCCCACCCCACAGTCAAGTGGTCAAAGGGTCGAGCGTAGATATCAAAGGGCACTAAAAATGTGCGACCTTCCGTCATTTTTTCGATCGGCTCGTGCAGCTTGGCCTACCCTGTGAAAAAAAAAAACAAAAAAAAATGTCATTGAACCAGAGAAGTGTTTCTTTGTAAAAGTCCCAAGGAAAAATTTCTTTGGTACTGTTTACAAAAAATGTATATATATACATTTCCTTGGCTCGAGGAATTTCCTCTTTTTTCTCAGTCTAGTAATTACCTTCCCTTGCACCGCCATTACACCGAAAGTCCAGACTCTCCGTAGGTAGTGGGAGCTAGGAAGGTTTGCAGAGTTTAATCCGGGACCCCGTATCGATGTTAGCCAGACTCTCCCTTAGTTAGCCTTGAGTGTTGTCTTACGAACAGTTGAAGCGAATTTCGGCCGAGAGAACTCCGGAGTTGCGTCCAGGACGGAAGACTCCACGACGACGGACTCTTCGGGGCACGAATTCGTGTCCGACAGCGTAAGAGCCTCGGACACGGACATCCAGGAGGTCAGGGAAGGCATGAAAAAACTAGGGATGCAGCCACCTAAAGGTCAGTACTGGTCAGTCCTCGTTTACCCTGCGATCTTCACGAGGAGTCCTCGTGGATGTCCTGGCTGACCGGAGACCAAGATCGGACCTCGCTCGACCGCATCCTATATTCTAATTTTTTCAAACGAAATTCCTCAAGGCATAATAAATACAAATTCATCATTTACAAAAGGGACCCGAGAAGTAAAAGGTCAATTTTTTTCTCCTACGGAAAATTGAAGAAAAAAAAAATTTATATATAATTATGTTATCTCTTCCAACGTAAGGGCGAAATTCATGCTTGCGTCCAGACGACAGTGGACCTAATTAGATCTAATATACTTCCAACGCGCTTGGTTTTTTTTTTCTTGTCCGCAAGGATTTCTCAAAGATTAATTTCTGGGAGGGGTTGCATGTTTTTCTTTTTTCGGAATTTTTTCGACATTTAATTCCGACCGGGGTCCGATCAGGGTTTCCGGAAATGGACATCCAGGATCTCCCAATCGGGCCGGACCGAGGATCGCGCGACTCTCGGTGATCTCGTGAGTATGTACCCCGGACAATTATGACACTGCCTGCACCGAGCATCGTTACACAATAGTTCGTGACCCGGGATCGATGTTTATTGTCATTAGCAGCGGATAGTGGCACGAAGTCTTGTACGAAGCCGCCGAGTATGAGTGACCAATAGTCCCCTGCACCGATCCTTTCCCAAGTACCGAGACAATTGAGCCCCATAAGTGTGCTTGTACATAGTCCCCTGCACCCCCTAGTTACTTCGCAGCACCCCGTAGAGGGGGGGCAGTACTTAAATGTAAGGCACGCTTCTCGCAGCCGCCATGACCTGTCTAAACGAAGGTTTTTCATTCTATTTTGTCAACAGCCTAAGAAGAGGAGAGAGTCCCATGTGCCATTATTCAAAGCACACCCCCAACTGACATTCGATTGGACCTTTCGGTTGATTTCGTTTTTTATCGCGGCCATCGATTCACCCCGCGCCTCCAGGGGTGGGATTCCTCGTTCCTTTTCGAGGCCCCGGAAATCCTCGAAATCTCGGACTTCCAGGAGGCCTCGAAAACGAGGAAACCTCCCTTGGAACCGCGATCCTTCTCCATTCGAAAAGCCTTTTTTGATTTCCCTGAGAATTCGCCGTTCCTCCGCGGCCAGGGCGCTACCCTCTCGACGTATCGATCCTTCATCGGCGATTCGGTCCGAGTGATTGGTTTGATTTAATTTAAGACCGCGCGCGACACGATCGAAGCCAGTCAGATGAACATCTAAACTAAGTGAGAGTTTAGGGAAAATGAAAAAAGTAAAAAAGAAGAGAGAGAGAGAGAGAGAGAGACATACCTAGTCGAAACTCGAAGATATCGTTCATGATTAACTATTAGGTAAACGTTAGTCGAGGGATTAATCAGCTGTTAAATCTGAGGCGCATGTATAATCGGGTATAACGGGCGAGGAAATTAATCGAGCTAATAAAATTCCAGGGGAGAGGGGTGGCAATTTACGAGGGGATGTCGGAAGCATTCGATTAATCTGTCTGTCTGTTTGTCTGTCTGTCCGTCTGTCTGTCTGTCCGTTATCATCTATACTATCTTCGATCTTTGTCCTCTCCGTGTTGTAAAAGTTGTAAGTAAGCGAGAGTAACGAGTTGCACGAAGCAGAATTTAAAGTGGCGATTAATTAAAGATAAAGGATAAAAAAATATAAAAACGTAAAGGAGAATCATATAGGTACCTAATGAAATTCGTTGAACGACAATACGTGTTTACGGGATTATTTAAATATGGACGGGGCGCGAGTCGGGCGGGATTAGGGAAGGTCAGGAACGAAGGGGTTGAAATGGAGCAATTTCGGGGACATCGCATCCCTAAAAACACCCCCAAACCCCATATCCCATGGGAACCGATCACCCGGCAGGATCGGGGGGCTGTAATTCCCGAAATTCACGATTAAAAAAAGAACAATCGGGACTCCCAAAAATGGGGGAGAAATCCAGGAAGGGGGAAATAAACTCGCTCGAAAAGGGCGCGGAAAAATCGAAGGGTGAAACCGATGCTCGACCGACGATTGATTCGATCCCATGCCTAATCGATGATTACTTTTTAGCCGCCGACTCTTCCGTGAACAGTGGGGGGTGGAGGGAGGCGCCGTAAAAAAGGAAATGCGCGAGAAAAGGACAAACGCCGTAAATGGACCCGAGAGGAAAGAAATGCATTGTTCGACGTCCTCGGGCAGGGCCGAAATATCGCGGAATGTTTCTCGTCGAAAACCCCTTTATAGGGAGAAAATGAAACCCAACGTGGCTCGGTCGGGTAATGGGGAAATAATTGCAAAGGGTCGCGGGGGCTTTTTCGCAATTTCGGCCAAGTCCTCGACCGGCGCGTACGGGGAGGATTGAAAATGACTTTCGATCGAGCTGGTCGCCTTAAAACTAGGTCGGAAGTTTTCTTCGCAACTGCGCTTGCGGGTCGTCGCTTTTTACGTACGATCGATGTCGCTCGATCGCCTCTCGTTCCGCTCTTCGAAACGGTCGTCCTAACCTCGACGCCCCGAGGCAGGGAGATTCTATACGAGTTCCTAAAAAAGCTCCGGATTATGCCTCGACGTGCGTTAAACGCGTCCCGAATAATTAACAATGAATAATTATCGAATTAATAAGCGCTCGTCGATCGGACGCGACAGGGAATAAAGTATGACCAGAAGGCGGACGCCAGTTGGCGTGGGTGTGTCGAGATTTTACTTATTTATTTATTTATTTATTTATTTATGTATTTATTTATTTATTTATGTATTTATTTATTTACTTTCTCCCTAATAAATGCGGCGTTTAAAAGCGCACCGCGAAGGGGCGATTAAACCTGACCTCGGTGTCTTTTCTTGGGGCGGATAAGTCAGCGTGTAAAAGACCTACCATAAAAAATGCCCCTTTATTCCTTGATGTTCCCTAAAAATGTATTATAACCTTCTCTCAGCCCGAATTAATGAATCCAAGATGTAACCGTGAGAAGGGCTCTCCAGTGGAAGGAATTAATATATCTTTCATTTTTCTCCCTGGATTTCAATTTGATAGGCTAACTATCGCGGTTCCGTGATCACGCGTTCGATTCCCCTTGCATCTCGTCACCTCGGATTTAACGCGGTTTCCTTTATTTTCGCGACATTCCTCAGTTTGCGAGCCGATGTGACCCGCGTTCACGGAAAGGCTCGTCCCAGCGCCCGGGAACGGAGCCACCCTCTCGTCGGACACAGTTTTAACATTTTCATGTACACACACGACACGCGAGTCAATGGCCCTCTGCAAAATAGCTACAACGCTGCTTGTGACTCTCCGCAGAAGAAGAGTGGGAACGGGAATTGGAAGCTGAGCTGAAGGATTTCGAGGTCGTGCCAGGACAGGAGAATAGCTCCTCCGCGAACGACGCCACGGCCGGAAAGGACGACTGGGAAGAACAGATCGATGAGCTGCTCGGCGACGAGGAGGATCTAAAGTGAACCGGAGGGGCGCCCATGATTTTTTCCGACACACGACGAGGTCAAGATATCGGCCCGATCGCTCGACTTTGCGCTTACCAAAGGTCGGGCTCCTTCGAGCGAGGTCGAGTTCCTCTGGACGAGGTCGAGCTCGCGAGCGTCAGATTAAATTTCAGCGCTCGAGGGTCGGACCTTCCTTCGGGGAACTCCCTCGTACGAGGTCGGGATTTTTGCGCGAGGTCGGGCGAGGTCGCGTGAAATTAAATTTCATTGCGCGAGGTCAGACTTTCCTTGGGGGAACTCCCTCGTGCGAGGTCGGAATTTTTGCGCGAGGTCGGGCGAGGTCGCTTGAAATTAAATTTCATTGCTCGAGGTCGGACCTTCCTTGTGGGAACTCCCTCTTGCGAGGTCGGAATTTTTGCGCGAGGTCGCGTGAAATTAAATTTCATTGCGTGAGGTCGGACCTTCCTGGGGAAACTCCCTCGTGCGAGGTCGGAATTTTTGCGCGAGGTCGCGTGAAATTAAATTTCATTGCGCGAGATCGGCCTCGCTAGATTTCTTGTAAGAGGTCGGGCTTCCTTGTTGGGTGAGGTCAGCGCTTTTTCGGCGAAGTCGAGCTTCCTTGTCAATTTTCCCTTGCCTCTTTACGCGAGGTCAAGGAAAGAAATTCCGGCCGGTGGCGAGCTTAACGCGGATGATAAATTTCGGTCACATTGTACGAGACGGGGGTTAGAAAAGAAAATGGCGTCGCTACCGTGCGGCGCCATTATGGTTCCTGCGGTACAACGCCCGGAAATATTTCAAATGTTCGAGCAGGAAATCTCGGAAAAGCTGGAATAATTATCGTTAACACAGGCGAATGCGTCCTGTCCCAACCGAGATATCCTGGCCATTGACTGTAGACCCTTGACAAAGCAATCGATTTATTTCCGCGTTGACGTTTCGTCGACCCCTAGGGATCGCGATCCCAGCATTCGTTTTACTCGTGCGAAAAGCTTTCATTCGCGTTAACTCGCACGGCAATTTATATTCCCTTACTTTCGTTAATCGCCGTCGATGAAACAACCGATCGTACGCCCCAGGTCGTTGAACAACGAGTAACAAGGGAGCAATTTGCGTGCGAGGCGACGTGTAAATAATTTCTGGTTCGCTCGGCTGGTCCTTCCGCCCGCTTTGAGAAGTGAGATGAAAATCGAGCAAAACCGTACACCGTTTTGTACCCCTCGAAATCACGTACAGTTTGTAATCCTGTCTTTCGCTTGTTTCGAGGAACAGCCGAGCGACCGTTTTCATGTTTCCATTCCCTTGGTGTGCGAAAAGAATTAAGAACGGCGTATGTAAAAAAAAAAACAGCTTTTGAGGGACGAAAGGACTTTTGTTTCCTTCGTTGCCGAGCTCGAGACGTCGGATCCGACCTGTAAAGCCGTTCGCACAAGTACCGGCAAAACCGGCACCGAATTTTCTGACAAAACCAATGCAACTTTCATTTATTTACATTATTACCATCGATAAAGAAATGAAAACCGACGCCGGCTCCGATTTTGCCGGTCATGCGCAAACGGCGTAACAATCGCACCCCGACATTTCGCAGATCTCTCGAAGTAAATCTATGTCAATTAGGCGACCTCGTGGGAATTAGACCCGTACTTGATTGTTTTGCGTATAATTTGACGTCGCGACGCGTAAACGACGGACGCTTTATTACTACGTCGAGGTACTCATGCCCGTCGATTTGTTTTTTTACACGCCAGTTTTCCGAAACCGGGGAACGTCCGTTCGTTGTCCCAGTTGAAGCGCATCGACTGAAGGCAATTTGCGGGAAAAGGTAATGGCGGCGATCGATTACGTAGAAGCGTCGAAAAGCGACTTGTTTGTTCGACAAGAGGCGAGGTATCTAACGAACGGAAGCTACGATGCACTCCTTGCGCATTTATCAACCCGACGTTTGTACATTGTTCTTGTTCATAACCATCTTCCGGCTCTTGTAAAGTTTTCATGGAGTATATGCGTGTATGTATGCGAGTGAAAATTGTATACATACATGTATATCACCGACTATAGAACATACAATAATTACTAACGGCGCGATTGTTCGAGGCCTAAGTCTGTCGGGGCTCTAGTGTGTACGTAATGACAATTAGCGTGATCTCGTTTTGATTGTGCGCATCGCATTACCGGCTAAGTGCGCCGTGTACTTCGGTCGAGATCGGAGGACCGAAAATGGCGCCGACTCCTGTACAGTTGATTTTTCTTTCTTTCTTCTTCTTCTTTTTTTCCCCTTTTTTTACTTCGGCACCGTCGACGACCTACGTACTGCGTTACACATGCGTTAACAAATCGGGACTCGTAATAAGTCAAGGTTGTACCTAGCAACAGTTCTGAATACACAAATGATATATATACATACATATATATATACATATAACCCTCATAATGAGTTGCGAAATGAATCCGTGTCCCAGTGCGATGCATTCACTCATGAGACAAAATAAAATGAACATACACCCGATATACTTACGTATACATATATAAATATATAAATATATATGTTGTTGACTCCACTGAAAGTATGATAATATATTATGACTATTAATGAGAATATAATGATGCAGCATTAAATTAAAGATAATAAGAGGAAATTAATAATATAATTGCGATAATGTAACGACGATGGTCGTGTACCTCGTGAGAAATAAAATAACCGAATACTCGGATCGGGGCATTCATGCGGAACGATTTACTCATCTTCTTCGTCTCCTGGTACCAACACCGTTTAAGAGGCTCTTCTTTTAGGTCACTGGTATCGTTTAATGTGGAATTCGTTGGTGTGCTTTAACTCAACTGTAAGAACGTGAAATCTTCTCAATGTTACTTTATTGATCGCGTGAAAAAGTTGACCCATAATTATATCAAAAAGGTGATCGACGATACCTGTCTTAGATCGTGTGTCTGTATGTACATTATTCTACACCTTTTTGCGATAATTCGGTTTATGGGAATTAAACGTTAATTGTAGAACGTGGCAAGTAACGCAAGTGAGCTGTCACTGTGTAATAATGTTGGCACTGATCGTACAAAATTTACAAACGTGAAAAAGTTCATGATAAATAAGTTCCTACGCGATTTATACTTAAAATGCTATTAAGAGTCAGAGTCTCTGCAGATGAAGTCTGTGAGTTTATTAATTGATGGCCGTTTAGCTTGACTATCTTCTTCGTTTGCGCCATTGGACAATTTTCGCTTTTTCGATGGACCCTCCTCTTTGAACCTTTTTAGCGCGGCTTTCGTTAAGTCAGCGGAGCTCAATTCAGGGAATTCTTCTTGCAAGCTCTTCTTATTCTTAGCGTACCAACTAACGAAGGACTCCTTCCTCGGAGATTTCTTTGGTTTCGGTTTAGAAGGGACTACCACGGGGCTTTTTGTTTTCTGTGGCTGTTCCAACAAAGCGTCCAATTCACTAAGACCTGTCGTTCAATCAGAACATCGCTTTATTAAAATAAAAAATATATATTAAAGAGAACAGTTTAGAAAAAAAGTACGCACTTTTGTTTCTTGGAGCACTTCCAGTTTTCAGAAAGGGATTGTTCCTCCTTACAGTCGGGGTTAAAGGTTTAATTTCAACCGTGTGCTTTTTCGTGGTAGGTGTCAGAATCAACTCCGGAGTGTTTTCTACTTCCTCGATCTCATCGCAGACAGCGAAGCCATCATCTTTATTCTCCGCCGGTTCAATTTCATCTTCTTCGCTTTGATTTTTACTGTCAAAGATGGATTCTAACTTGTTGGCTAGAGCCATTCTATTGATTCGTCCGGCGTACTTCACTGCCAGTTCGATAACTTTCTGAGTTGCAACTTCTTGACACAACTCCACAGCGCGATATTCCACATTACTCCGGCAAGCGAGCTAAATAGATGAAAAAAAAAAAAATGTTCAGCTGTGTAAATATACCCCATACATGCGTGAATTATTAATAAAGTAATAAATAAAATGATCACTCACTGCAATGAGAGACAGTACAGTTTCCTTCTCATCGAGTGGATCACTTCCTAATTGCCATAAAATTGCCTCCTTTGTAGACTTTTCCGTTTCAGGCTCACAAAGAGGAATTACCAAAGATATTTCGCTGACCGTAGGTCGTGGGACTGTTGGCGGGTAATGACTTCCTTTACATAAAATGCAATGAACTGTCCGTTCAGCTTCGCTGACTCCAATTATGAAAAAGTGGTCTAATTTTCCTTTACTCTAAAAACCATTTAAATACTTATAAGAGTTACTAATCACGAGGCTAGAATAAATTTTAATTACTTACTTGTCGATCCATGTCACAAGCTACTCTCCATAGACATGATTTTCTGTCGTAGATTTTAAGAACCCCTTCGGCATCCATTATTGTCGGAGAGCCCAGGTCCGATAAGCCTAGCCACATTAATTCTGTCGATGGCGATAAAGGAACACTTAAGGTTTGACTGCGTAGAGTAGATCCTTGAATTCGTATCCACAATAAATTCATGTACTGATCATTAGATAGACCTAAAAACAACATTTCATCTGGATGCTTCCTAGACATTTAAACAATTTTCTTGTTATTAGATCCATACCCAGTCCAGTGTGATAAGCAACAACGAGATGATTTCCATGTGCATTCATGGCAACTACTTGACCAGGAAGACCTATTATTTCTCTTTGAGTACCACCAATCATGTACAATCTTAAAAATCGCCTGGTGGTTGCAACTGCCACAAAATTATTCCCAGCAGCAAGGCACGATGAATGCTCCCCTTCTGGGAGATCGATCGACCATTCCTTGTTTCCCGAACCCCAGCCTAATGTTACGAATATTCTAGTAACTTAGCCAGAAATAACTAATCACTTTATTGGCTTAAAGCTGTGTCATAACCAAACTCACCCTGCAATACCACTACGACAAGCTTGCTCGGTTGGCCATCATTTGCCGAACAACTTAGTGCAAGAGCCTGTGTTGACAACGCAGCCAATGTGTGCTGTAGGTAATTATTGATATGTATTGCATGATGGACAGCGGAATCATGAAACTCCACCTCGATACTGGATTCTTCTCCATCCTCCGATGCGAAACATTTTACTATTCCCACTTCATTCCATACCTGAATTAAATAAATGCTTAAGTGTAGAATTGAAAAATACCTAGTTTTAAGTTTTGCTAGCTTTAAATTATATCAGCTTTATATTACCATGTAGCGAGATAATAAATGAACCGGAGATGATCCCGGTTGAAAAGGTTGCTGCAAATTAATGTCTATTGCTAAAGATTTGATTTCTTTTTGTGGGTCTTCTGTAGCAGCATCAAAGTCACTCCTTGTGTCACCATCTTCTACCGATGATTTAATCTTGTTCAATGATATCACATTTTCTCCATCATCGTCATCATCTAATTCATACGAAGGTGCCTTTTCGTTAGGTACCGGTACAGGTAGTAATTCATCCACTAACTCACTGTTATCTACCTACAAAATGTTACAACTAGTAAGTAATATGAATAGAATGTACATAATAATTATTTTCTAGAATATTGTAAATTTTTACAATAGTTAGGCATCCCAGTTGTCCTGATTTGTCGGTAAATGCAATTTCATCTGGTTTTTTCAAGTTCCAAGCAATAGCTGTGATCTTTGTATTATTATCATGTTCAATATATCCAAGTAGCGCTTGAGTATTAAAATTCCAAACAACTATTTCACCAAAAACTGAGCTAGCAGCCAATCGTGTTGCACATTCAGAAAATTTGCTGATGCTAAGATCCTGTATAAAATAATGTAATAATTATATTAATTATATTTAAACTTATAAAAAATGTACAGGAATCTGTACACTTACCCCTCTTAAATTAGAGCATTTTAATCTAAACAACTCTTTCCATGTAGACCTTTCGGTAACAACTACGTCCTTTTCATGAGGATATGCAAGTACACTGCCATCCACGGAATGAAAAGATGGCGTAGAATATGTTTTTGCCATGAAGAAGGAATTGCACTTTGGTACGACATTATTCCAGATATGTATTGCCTTTTTCTCCTTAATATCCCATACCCTGATTGTTCCGTCGGCACTAGATGATGCCTACGAATTTCTTTCTTTGTACACACTTCCTTCATTAAAAAACATTATAATAATTAACAATCTTACCAGAAATACCTCCTTAGGATCTAAGGATATACCTAAGACTGGTGCTTCATGACCATTTAGTTCTATAGTATCTGATTTTTCAATATTTGTGACTCTGATCCTCATATCACTGAAAAAAAATACACACAAATTCTTGTCATTATTTCTATCGCTGCACGACTACTTTTTTAAAACATTTATAGTCTATTCATGCACAAAATTAGATCAAATAAATGAATAAGTGAATTCAATATAAAATTTAAAAAATGTGACACGTTTAATTTTTCTTACCACGCAGCTGAAACTATAAGCTTACTATTCTTCGCAGACGTTAAAGCTGATACAGAAGCTGAGAATCTAGTTATGATTCCCTGTTTCTCTAAATCAGGATATGTAAGAATTTGTACTGTATTATCAGTGCCAACATATATTTTCCCATCCTAGAAGAAAATTTATTCATAAGAATATATATTCTATTACTAAAATTCAAATGGATTAATTATTAAAATGAAACCTTCGATATGACAGCTGTCGCTTGCTCTGAAATACAAGTTGATCCTGGATCATCATCCGTTACATGAAACCATGTTCTGACATCACCGTCCAACCCACATGAAATTAAACCTCCTCTATGACATAAAATTAAACAATGTCAGAAAGTTCACATGAACATTAAAAATAATCATTAAAAAATTATTCTGCAGTAAAGTCAGTCATAAGAAATTACTTCTCTCCGTTGTAATAACAAACATCCGTGTGGCCCTCTTGGTGAGCGAACCGCACCAGTTTATTTATAAGTGGCATTTTTATTAGTAATCTGTTCTTAAAATGTTATTATTACAAGTATCGCTCCAAGGTATCCTTTCACGGCATGGATAAAAATTTTTTATTATTCTGCCGCCATAATTTCTACTGTGCTGCTCCCTGTACATACCTCCCTAACTATATCTAGGACAGCACAGAACGCGATCGTGCGACCCAGCCCGTAAGCAGAGACAGAGATGAGTTGTGAGATTGCTCACGGGCAGGGTCGCGCGATCGCATCCTGTGCTGCCCTCTGGTTTCGTATGGGAATTTCATCTCTGATTGGGATAGGATTTTTGTGATTGTGTATGGACAGAGGATGTGCTCATCTCTGGTACTACAGACAAGTGGCGCCATCCAAAGATGGTGTCGGTAGAATAACGAACTTAATTCGAAACGAAAATTTAATTTTCATGTAAAACTTGAATGAAAATCGATGGCTTCGTTTACATCATATCCAAGTAAAAGGATCAAAATCAGAAGAACAATATTAAGCAAATTTAAAGAACACTTTACTTACGGAAGTGTTTTAATAGGAGAAACGGAAAATGTTTCTAATCGAGAAATGGTAGGAACATGCGTTTCAGCACATCGTCAGTACTACTAACTCGATTTATTTTTTATACGTATTACACGTATTTTACAAATTTTATACAGACCACTGTAAAGTGGAGCAGTAGCAGCATCACCGACGCAGGCGTATCGTACAAGATCTAGGAATAAACGGAACACGCAGTGATATCAGTTTCCCGAAGTATGCGCCCCTAATCAGCCCTTTCCAAGACATTCGGCCAGGTGATCCGGTGAGATGGGCTAGAAATTACACCGAGGTACTTTATTACCTAATGAAATTTATTTTTCCTTACTTCGTGGTACAATCTTCACCTAAGATGACGTATAAAAGAAATGCATCGAGTGAAAAAACGGAACGAAATGCCGAGTTTAAATGTAGCGCTAGAAATTCATTCCGAGGCAGTCCATTCGATAACGGTACGTCGTTCGGTTAAAGTTAGTCGTTTATGCGATGGTGTAAGAGTACGCTTAGTAATATATATAAATATATATATATATATATATAAATATATATTATATATGTATATAGTGTCTAAGGAATTAATGGTATATATTGTACGTAATTTATGAATACGGTAGCAGCCTCACTCTCTAATAATATTAAATATAATGTAATGGCTCAATGCAATAATCCTCCCTAATGCGGATCGTTCAACACCGTGAAATAATAATCGTCCGAGTGACCGATAAACAATGGTACGTGGTAGTCACGTGTGCTTTTTTTTTCTCGCTTATAAATTTTTTAAAATGTTATCATATATAGTAATAATCACAATAGCGTATTCTGAAAAATAGATTAGGGTCCCTAGGGCAGAGGACCGAGGCTCCGGCGTCGAAAGGAGGGTTGTTTATACGCCAATTAACACGACGAAAAGCCCAGACCCGTTCCCCAAGAGAAGAAATCCACCCTGGAAGATGTCCTCGTCGAAGAATCGACACCCTTCGACCAGGTGCTTCACCGGTTACGAAAATGGGATCGGCGACCTCCCCTCGTCATTCCAAGATCCTAGGTACCCACCGGAAGCGGAGGTAATTTTTCACATGAACGATTTCACCCTTCGCGACATCCGCGTGAACGTCGACGCATTCCCGGTCTCGCCGATCTATCGTCACAATTAATTTCAGGCAAAACCGACGGTAGATGCGACTTCGAGGAGTGCTCGACGCGTCCTCGCTCTGCCTGGGGAACCCGCTATAACAGGGCACTATGAACAGCAGTCTGCTGGCTATATGTGACTTTTCGAATCTACAGTCGTTCCATTTCCTCTCCCCTTTCCCAATATTCCGAGAATTAGATACTACCGAATTGCCAGCTCCGAAAACGCAACGTTAACGAAGAGGACTCGATGCGCCACGACGAGCGGTCGTCTTGGAGTACGTTTACACGTGTGCCTTACACCGATTTCAAGACAACCATTGTTATACCCCCCGATAATTAAACACCATGTAAACGCCGTTTTTATCGGCAGCTGAGATAAAAGAGCGTTTACACGACAATTAACACCAGGAGTTACATCGTTAATTAAATGGTCGGTGTAAAGCACAGGTTTCGGCACAGCCTGCGTTAACCATTAAGGCGATGTTAAAGTGGCGTCAAAGAGTTCTCGTTCGTGATACTTTTCTCCAAACTGGGGGTACCGAATCGATTCCAACTTTACAATATAAATATGGAGGGTGTAAAGGAAGGTCCTGAAACTCATGAGGTATGAGTGTTTTTAATTTGTTCATGGATATTTTTTAAAATCTCTTCCGAAAAATTAAATTCCATGACGGTCAGGACCTTCGTCGTAGCCTCTACGTTCACGTTGTAGAGTTTGATAACGATTCGGCGAATTGTTGAAAAAGTTTCGTGAACCATTGACTCTTCGGATGCCACTTTGACGTCCCCTTAATCGTAATGAAGTAGATAAGGTTCGGGAAAATTCTCGTCGAGTTGGGCTCGAGGTCGAGAACGCCAAGTAGATAGAATAAGAGAGGAGTAGGTTTCTTTGTCAATGAACAACTCCAGTGTTAAATATCTTAAGGACGTGTATTTTCGAGAAATGTCGAGGGATCCGGAATCGAGTGGATCCCCTCGTCCGGCCTCCATCATCGAATTTGTTAGCTAGCCTCGGGAACTCGCTGGGTCCTCGAACCCAACCGAACCGAAGTTTCTGCAAACCTACGCATCATCATCTACTAACAGCGTATACCTTCGAGGTTCGACAAAACTAATCGGGATGACAATTAGTCGCAAAGTATTCGGCCTGGAAAAGTAACGGGGGTCGTCGGAATGCGTCTGTACACGTTTTCATATCATTTTACTTCCTTTTTAACAGCGATTGGCAGTAGTGAAAGTCGCGTTTCTCTGCAATTGACGTTTCAACGACCCAGCGGCGTGCGTAATTCCGCCTTTCAAGTGCTCCGATGAAGCACTCGCATCAAATCCCGAAAGTAATTCCGCGCCTTTAAAGCTTCCCGGGTTCGCAACCCTCTACGAACGAAATCGGTACGGCAGATTCCTTCCCGCCAGGCCTGGCTATCTACTCGAAAGGGCCTTATCAAAAATTTAATTTATTCCCTACCTCTTACAATTTCGACCCGATCACCGATCGGCGCATGCCCGCGTCGACCGGTACTAACCACGTCCCTTTACAGCGGACATTTTTTAATTAACGCTCGATTTGCATGTACCCGCCGATCACTAACCGTAAATCCACAAGAGAGCAAGGCCATTTCGAGTAGAGAAGCAGAACCGTGTCCCCATGCCTCCTATTACTCAGCATTCACTCTACATCAGCCATGGTAAACACTACTGTAATCATTTTGTCGCGTTATGATATTTATAACTTTACTTCTTATTCTGTGTTCTTTTTTTGTCCTTTCTTTAATATTAGACGTGCCGCGTCTCTCTCTACCTCAGCCTACTTGCCAGCTACTCGTCTCGCTCCCCTCTCCTCCCGCCTCGCGTTATAAATAGTAATGTGTATATAATATCATTTTCATATCGTTATAATTAATCGGTAATAATATACCCCTTTACTATGCATTATTACTTCAATAACATTTCGCGTGTTATTAACCGCTAGCATAATCGTTAGGTGTACCGAGAGCTGAGCGAGCAGTCGTGCCGCGCGGAGGGTGTCGCACCACGCGCGTCAAAGTGAGACGATTCGGCACGACCTTGCCCAACAACTAGTCAAGGCTCCAAACCGCAACCCTGGCTCTTCGTTCAAGTCTTACTCGCTTGATTTCGATATACATATGTATGTACATATGTATATATGTATAATGGGTATGTATTTTTATATATATATATAATCTTTGCATTTCGAGTTGCCGCCTACCGGACTGATTGCAGCTACTGTTCAACAGGAGGCCCTAATTTCGCGGAACGGGAGCGGCGCCTCGGAAAGATGCCCCCAATTCATCCGAATCGAGATCGCCCGAGTCCTATAACACGAGTGTGTCGCCAAAATCAGGATGTGGACTTACGAGTGACCGTGATATATCAAAAGATGTCTCCTTATCCAGGCTAGATCACTCCCCCCATTTATACAAGTGGATGGAAAAAAGCAGAAGCTTTTTAATCTCGATGAGTAATGGTCAAACCCGCGATAGTAAAGTGTTAAAAGTCTAAGGTTACAGGGTGTATTGACAAAGTGGAATGATTCGAAGATCCTCTCTCGACTCGAGTCGGGCGCTCTGACGGCAATTAATCGCGAAAATCGGCCGTACATTGTGTGTGTATATATATATATAGTAAAATATGCCAGAGTCGCGTTTGGAATATCGTTTCCTCCCCTACCCGCCGTCGATCGTCGTCTCGTCTTTCCCTCTTTTCTGACTTTTCTTCGTCGAGTTACACATGGCCAACTTCCCAATACTGTAACATGCTACTGGGAGTATCTGCTTGGCCAGACTCTAATAGTTACAGTAAAAAATAGCGATAAACGGCACTGTATTAGGAAGAAGCAAAATACACGTTACATTCTCATTATTTTATCGTTGATAAATGCTATAATATTTGTGTGCGAGTGTCCTTTCAATCTCTCGTTCCCTCCTCTTTCCCTCTCATCTCTTTTCTCCCTCCGTTAAATCTCGTATAGCGTCGGCATCAACGTCGGCATCCCGTGTCAATGATCTTCGATTATCACGCCGGACCTTCGCCTGCGCGGCGATCGCTCGTATTATCAATATTAATCAGCTATTTTTACAATCTCTAGGGGGGGGCCCCGCCATCGGGCCCGAAAAAACTCGCCAACATCCCTCTTGCCAGATCGGACTCTAGCAGGCAAACGTGTCTCCTCGATTTAATTACAACTCTGCGGGAACGCGTCTCGCTGCAAGGACCTGCTCGGCAGGACATAGGAAACCTCGGCGGCAATGGTTCTTCAAACTATTCTACATCGAATGTACAGCGCAATGTACCGGGCACGGAGAGTCCAATCCCGAGGCGTTCGTTAAACGGCGTCGAAATTCGCCCTCAAAGGGTATCCCCTGCGATTCGTTCCCGAGTCGCCATCTTGGGCGTCGTTTTCTTCCCCTCATACGCTGGAAAATGATCGCGCAGAGTGCAACCGTCGCCTCGAGAGGGGTCCAACGTTATAAACGATGTAATCCGGCAAACGGACGAGACCTACCTCAAGTCCTTTGCAACGAGACCGCTCCTCGCTTTACAACGCTATTAGTAAATTTGTTTATCTTAGGTGCTAACTTTTAAGTGCCTTACGGTTCGTACAATCGGCCCTAACTCGTAAAATCTATGGTGTCTAAAGTGATGGATTAACGCTAGATCTCATTTATAATCAGATCGGATAAATTAATCGTCAATAATTGCGTACGTCTCTCGTTCTCGCTCTCGCACACGCTCTCACGCTCGGTCGCTCTCACTCTCTCCCTTGCGCTCTCTCTACCTAGGCTAGACTCCGACGGAAAAATATATTTATAAAAAGTTATATAATATCATTAATATATATATATATATATATATATATATATGTATATATATATACGTTTCAAGCGTTCTAGATATCGTACTAATCCTCTACTTAAAGTCTAAGCTCCCAACGTCGACCTCGTGCCGTAGATACTTGCGATTCTCTAGAGGCTGCCGCCGAGGGCGGAGAGCCGCGTCTCTCTATTTTTTTTATTCTTTTTCATTTATAACCGTAATAACTGGCTAAACCTCTCCTTAAATGTACAGACAAATAACTCGAGTCGAGCCGCCGGTTACGGAATAGCCCGCAGAGTCGCTCCTCCAAAGGGGCCCCCGCCGAGTCGCGTCTCCCCGATAAGGGGTTATCACGGGGTTTCGCGTCCTCGTCGGGCCCCCCTCCTCTTGAAAGATCGCCTCCGTACCCCCCTCCCGTTCTCGTGGATGGAATCCGTTGCTTGTGAATGGCTTAAACGGCGCGTTCGGCGGAACGTCCCGCGAACACAATGATTTATCTGTACCTCCCCTCGACGGTCAATTAAAATTCTTGCAGAGGCGAGAGCTCGCCCTTGCGAGTCTCGGGGATTTTGCGGGGGAGCGGCGCTGCATCTCTTAAAAATATTCTAAGCACCCGCAAGCGATCCCCGGCCCTGCGGATCGTCCCCGCGTAAACGGCGGCCCGAGACCGCCCTTAATATCGAGTGTCCCCCAACTAGTGTGTCTTCATCAACATGATTATTAAAAACTCGTAATGAGACCTTCGCATATCTCGGCCGAATGCACCGTGCTTCTTTCCAGCGTACGACATCCTTGTATTACAATACGTCGTACCTTGTACCTTGTACGCGCGCGCGTGTCGATCCTGTCTACCAGGGTGTACGTGTACGTGGGTGTGTCCGTGTGTACATTATCCTCGACGTTTGTGCAAGGGACAACCCTCTCCTTACCGAGTACTAATGAAATACCATTGTGCGCGCGCCTCTCTAGCCCCGCGTTATCACGTCGACCATATCGCGATTACCAACGGCGCCTAGTTTACAATAATTAATATCTTTGGTATCGTGCCTGAGTCTTCGTATAAAATGAATAAAAGGAAGTCGCTAAATTAGTCCCGAGAGAGAGCTTGCTCCGCGCTTCGAGGTCCGTCGTATCAAACTTAGATGATCCCAGTCCGATTAGAAAAGACTAGCTAAATTTTCGAAAGTAAACCGCGGGGTAGGATATACCTCTCAAGTTCGTACGGATTTACGGCAGCTTTTTGTTCCGCGTGTATGATGCGTATATGTATGTATGTATATATATATATTTATATATATATTTATATATCACGTGGCTGTCAGTGGTGTCGGTTATCGGTAATACCAAACCCGGAATCTCGGGTTACCGCTCCCTTGGGACGGGGCCGACGACGGCGTCGCGACGGCGACCTTCCAAGGGAATTCTCGTGGTCTCTCTTCAAGGTTGAAGGAAATCGGTCCGGCCTAATTTTACGCGACTGTTACTAGAGGAAGCATTCTTTACGTTACGCTAGACTTCGCGTGGGAAATGGAAACGGGGCGAAAGAGAAACGACCAAAAAAAAGAAATGTGTAAAGAAGATAAAGAGCAATGACAACGAAACGTTGCGTTACCCGCGAATCTCCCGTGTTTCTTTTTTTTTTTTTCTTTCGACGTCAAGGGAGATCGATGACATGACGTCGACGTCTTCGCGTCGGACGCTTTTCGCGCGCGATAGGACGAGCTCGGATTCGGGATTAGTTTGAAACTTATTGTAAACGCGATGATAATTTGTACTATCGGTAAAAAGAAACTATGCTTTTCTTCTTCTTTTTTTTTTTCCTTTTTTTGCGTAGTTTTTCTTTTCCTTACGTCGGTCGCGATGCAACGATGCAGCGGTCGGAACAATGAACGAACAATCGGGCTCGCCTGACGGAGTCTCTCAGTCTTTCTCGATTAGGAAGTCATAAGCAGGCGACCCTTCCCTCTAATCAACGCTCGATCGATCGAAGAATGACAATCAAATGCTTTAACAAGTTGCGGTAGTCGGATTGTGTGTGACATGTGCGTGTCAAAGTGCAGCGAACGTTCGAGTCAATTGTTCACAACATCGGAAGGGCGTCGAGTCGTCCTCGTAAACCGATTGTTTCGGCCCTTCGACTTCCCACGAGGGTTTAGTTTTAAGAGCGTGGAAGTGGGGCCGAAATTGCGAGCTCGGGGGGCGATTTCGAAAGTTTAATCATTCCGAGATAAACACCGAAAAGAGAAAACAAGCTCTCGGGGGGGTGGGTAAAACGTGCCGCGCCGAGTGACGCTAAGTGAAATGTTGCTGTTTACGTGTCAACATTTAATTACGGGAAATATGGAACAATGCTTGTATAATTTCCCCGTTCTGTCACTCTCGTTGGGGCATAAATAGGATAAAAGTTCTGCCGTGCGGGCAATTTCGAAAGCCATTTGATTCGCCCTGTTTATACGGTTTAAACTGACACCGCTGAAGTATGACCTCATGTTTATATCGCGCATTCGTAGCGCGCTTTTATGCCGTTTATGTGTTTACGTTCTATCGCGTATGACGGAGAGCACACGATCAGTACATAAAACTACGTTTGCAAATGCATTTCGTCTTTCTGCCATTCTGGTCACGCTTGCTCGTTTAAACGCACGGATGCAATTTTATCAGACCGCGTATATTTCGCCCCGTGTAACGTTCATTCGTAACGGCTTTGTGGAAGCGGTAAGTTATTAATTAGAGAAACTGCCCAACAAGTGTCCAAGCTCATCGAGGCCGTTTTAAACCCAGCGGGTATCGACTTGGTTGCGAAAGAAGTTAATGGAAAATCGCCCAAAAGGAGCGAAGATGGCTGACGGCTCTTCCTCTAGGGCGAGCCGCCATCTTGGAAAAAGGGAAAAGACGAGATTCCACCCTCCCACGCTCTCGATGATTGTGAACAAGAGATGTCGAGGGTCAACGGCACGTGTGTTTGTCGTTCGAGAGGAGCACTTAAGTTCAACCCTCTCCATATCACCCCGTCCATTGTCTAGAAAACATCTCGTCATATAGAATATATCACATACGCGTTACTTCTAAACACACTGAAATAAGAAGCACTTTAAGATAGATGTCTACATACACCATCGGGCCCGGGATAAATCGACTGATCTCTCTGTTCTTCCTCGCTCATATAACTTTTAATTGCCGTATATGTCTGTATATATGTATTATTTACATGCAAGCCCCGTACCTCTCTCTCTCTCTCTCTCTCTCCCCAGCTCGTTCCTTCTGCTGCCTATTACGTATATGTGCTAGGGTGATTCGCGCCCTTTGCGAAACGTACGAAAGAGTCCAAGCAAGCGTTTGAATCAAAGAAGGCACGATGTTCCTTAACGCGATGTTATCATGTAGTAGAAACCTTCTAAAAGGGACGATAACGCGTCCCGTCACCGCGGTACCCGCCGATCCTCCGACTGCAATTATACCGTTTTGAAGAAGTATTTGATTATCGGTCGAGAAAGGTGCGTGATCCTTAATCAAGAGACAGCAGGGCAGAGTCAGAAGGGAATCCAGGGGTAAATCAGATCTAACAGGAGAGTCAAAATTCGGTTGGCGTGTCTACTAGTATCTAAATGCAGCGATGACAAAAAAATTGAACACCGAACATCGCTTCAGTCTTGACGTCCAATTGACTGCAACATCTACTCTAAGGGCAACCTCCGGTTCGGTTCCCGAACGGTATCACGACTCTCGGTGTGATCGTACAGCGGAGGGTCAAACTGAGGATAGCTATGTCGCGATACAAAAGAGGATCATTGACATCAGTAATTTGAATGATTTGGCCTCTGTAGAGATTTGTGTCTCCCCGATCCGACGTGGGAAAAAGCGATCGGTCCGAGATGACCCGGTCTACTCTTCGCGCGGGCATTCTTACTTCTACAAACTGCACCGTCGTAACATACGTCGTTTACGGAACACCGCTGCCTGGATAGTACGTAGATATTTGAAGGATGACATCGTAAACAATTCCACAAGTCGAACGACAGCTCGCACGAATGTCCTTTCTGTGCCGGACAATTGAAAAGAATACTCCCGCCAATATGTACACGCACGTCTACGAGTCTCCCGCGCGTGATTAATCCATTTCGTCCCAAGAACTCAAACGAAGATCGCCTCTCCTTTCGATCCCGATACCGAGCAAACGAGGACAAGCAAGTCAACGAAGAAGAAACCCAGGGATCTCGGTACCCGCGGCCTGCGATAAAAAAAAAATCAGTCTAACGATTGACGTTCGGGCCCCAGATTTTAAACAATATTAAGACGAAGCCCGGATGACACGTAAAACTAAGGGAGACAGTTTGACGGAAATTCCGTAACGACCGTAACTTAGATGAACAGTGAACCGTTTCGGTTCACCCTGGGGAGCCATGAACCCGAAGGATTCGTGGCACGACGTTTGCCATATAGGCGATACTCTCCAATTACCGTCATAATCGTAATAACTAATCATTCGTTCGCTACCCGAGATAAAAGAAGAGAACGTCGAATAATAAATGCGAAACCGTACAACTAAACTCACACACGCACCTTTGGTAAGAAACGGGCTAATCAGGTCGCGCCGAACTGTCCCTAAGAGGACGTTGTCCACGTGGGTCAAGAACGACCAAATAGTCCAGTGAAACCATCGAACGAAACAACTCTCGCCGCGAAAACAAGTCGCGAATGCCGATCGACGTCACTTTCCCACATCCTTAACCCGTAAGACGTGCAAAATCCCGGGAGACCGTGCGCCGCGTACGCGTGACGAGATTCACGCGGTCGCCCGATGCCCGCGCGGCGGTGCACCGAATCGCGCGTCCCAGCTTAACCAAAGAGGGGATTCGCTCGAACGTAAGTTAGCAAAACGCATCGTCTCTGTCTAAAGAATTGGAAATCGCTCCAGGCGATGCACCGTCCCCGCGCGGGCATAAATAAACCGGCTCGACGTGGCAGCCCAGTCGGAGCAGCGGCTACCGCTGCTGGCTGCTCACATCGCAAGATGGCGACCGCGTGGCGCAGAGTCCGCGCCACGCGATTGGCTGGCTTCCAAAAAGGATAGCGTCCCGCGACGTCGGGTCCCCGTGGAGGTCCCTGATCTCGGACTAAGACCGGTAGATGAAGCTGCACGGCGGCGTGGGCGGCGGCGGCGACGACCCGCTCATCGCGATCGGGACGAGCGTCGGTGAGGGCGACGAGGAGGGGGGCGACGGGGAGCTCGAGGAGACGCTGGAGGGCGGCGAGGGCGACTCGAGCGCCCTGTGCGCCGCCAGCTCCCGAGTGGACTGTCCCCCGGACGTCACAGCGCGACTCCTACTCGCGGTCGCGTTGTGACGATTCCGCGCAGGCCGCCCTAGGCTTCGGTGGCGGCCTCCCCCCTCCTCGCTCGTTTCTCAAAGATAGACCTTCTTGACGCTCCTCGTGGTGGCGAAGCCGTCGTTGCGCCGGTACGCGTCGCCCTGGTGGGAGCGCAGCGTGCCGAAGTTGTCCCTCGGGCCCCGCCCGTACCCGTAGCCGTCCGGGAACTGGAAGAGCGTCTCCGCGGGCGTGGGCGGGGGCTTGCGCATCGTCCCCTTGGGCGAGTGCAACTTCGGCGGCTGCGGCATCAGCACGGGCTCTGCGTACGTCACCTCCTCCTGCGGCAGCAGCTTCGGCTCCGGCGCCAACCTACCGTGCGTTAAAAAAGATACGTGATTACCGATATTAGATTGCGATTGTAACAACGAGGTCCAAGTCGACCCTTGCCATTGTATAATACCTATTGACGTTCTGTCGCTGCTCGAAGTACTCGTACTCCGTGTCGGGGTAAGGGAGATTGTCGTCCTCGTCTTTCCTGCACTTCCTGCCGCACAGGTAGCCGGCGATGAAGCCGACCAGCAGAGCTGCCAACGCCCCGGCGACGACGGCCATGACCAGGGTCTCGACCGAGTACTGGGGAGGCGGTGAATCCGCGGCGGATACTTCGGGACCTGTGCCAAACGCATGTTGCGAGTTTAGGATCTAAGAGGAAAATGGCTCCAAGTGGAATGGCCGCGCGGTATCTACGGATCGATCGCAACCGTGCGGTCGGTCGGTCACGTGTAGGTGCGTATAAATTCGGTAAAGGGTGCGTTAACCGCGAGACCATGAAACCGCGGCTCACCCGAGCTGTCCCGCTCCTCGTCCTGCATGATGTTAATGATCTCGCCGCCCTGACTCTCCTTGTTGGGCATCATGGAGTCCGGTGGGAACTTGTTCTGGTTGGCGGAGATAGCCCCGACGCTGCTGGCGTCCTTGTTGAGGATCTTGCTGGGAGGACAGGAGGCGTGAGCCCCGGTCGCCACGCTCTGCAGGAACCTGGAGGCGTCCGTGGCAGCCGGACCGACCAGGGCTCTGCACTTGCCCTCCACCTTGTCCCAGGCGCAGTAGGGGTCCTGCAGGGCGACGCACTCCCCGCAGGAGAGTATCCTGTCGCTGTAACACCTGTGCAACCTGAGGGCTTGGACTTGGCTGTCGGCGATGACGACCAGGCGGCCGTCCTCGAGGCCGTCCCCGGTCTGGGAGGCGCGCACCACCTTTATCCCCCGGACGGGCACGCTCGCCGGGAAGGCCTGGATCTCCTCGATCACCACTGGACTCACTCTCTGATGACTGTCCGCCGACTCCGCGTTCACCGCCTTGATCACCTTTCCGTTGTCGGTGCCGATGAACAGCACGTCGTACGTCTTCCCGCCCGGGGTCTTCACTTGCGGGTCGACCGCGATCTGGGTGAACCTGTAACTAAAATCGTCACATTTTTCGACTCCACTCTGAACACCTCTTTCCCCTTATCCAGGTATTACAATATACAATACACTATGCACGACCTGATAACAGTAACCATAAGAATAGGAGGAACCAACTGGTCTATCAAACTCCAGGAAATTCAATATGGCGTCTGGATAAGCGGTCCGATTAACGCATTTTTATTCGAAGGACCTGTTTTTACTATAATGATCATTATCAGTTGAGTGTTTCTTACTAATTGTAGGTATTTCTAGAGTCCACTTACTGGAAACTGGTGCGAATGACGATGGGCTGCCCGAAGAAGCTCGGGACCGACTCGTCCATCAGGGAATGGCTTTTAATGAAGTTCAGAGTCAGGTCCGGCAAGGTGGTCGAGTCGTTGACGCACTGCCCGGGTCTGGGGTCCGGTACTTTGTTGCTCTGGACGGGCAGCCAATTCGAGTTGAGGGCGCTCTGTTCTTTGAAGTTCCCCTCGAAGGTGTCGGCTATGTCTTGCAGGGAGAACGCGCAAACGGCCGATCCACTTATACTGTTCACTGGAGTCGTGAACGTACCGTATATCAGCTGGGCGGACACGCTGCCATATTGGCCCGATATCAGTTCGGTCGTGGACTCTGCGGCCAAAATGTTCATTGACTTCTCGTAGAAAATCGAACACGAGGGAAACGCCGAATATTCGACTTACGTATTTCGTTGAAATAAAACGGGAAGTCACCGGTGACTGAACAGTTGAGGCGGGATTTTAAAAAAGATGTCCACCTCTGTCTGAAACGGTGCGGACCGCCACGGTCGGACTTGCAGACTCTCGCCACGCGAGAGTACACGGCCTGGAAATATAAATAACAATGAGTTCTTCAATCGACACTCTTAATTCATCTGTACACTGGTAACAAAATTAAATATCATTGAACGAAGGAAATATTTTCTTCATTCGAAGAATGTTCATTTAACTGAAATAAATTCTCATAATTCCGTAGAACCGTTGCATTCAATTTATTCGGGTTTATTTGCGAGAAATGATTATTTATCGAATTAATAAAATATTTCTTTCGTTCAATGACTTTTTTTTTGGTTCTCAATGTAGAGAAATCTGGGCGAATTACCTTGCCGCAATTTATGTACTCCACGGCCGTTTCCCTGAAGAAGAAGTAGACGAACTCCCCCTGGGTCATGGAGTTGACGAAATTTGGCGCTGCAATGCGCGGAAACAAACCGCGATATTAATGGAATTATTATGAATAATCACGTAAAGCGCGTTGACGTATCATCGCCGCATCCCGTTCATCGAGTAATCCCGATATTGTGTTCCGGACAATGCGTCGAGTTTCGATCGAAAATTGGGAGGACCAAAGCTGTAGAAAATTTCGGGAAACGTCGGCGCCCGGTGGCACTTCAAAACTGTTTTCAATATGCCAGATTAATCCAATTCGCCGGTAGTCGCGCGGGGGGAAATATCCAGATACACGAATGTGCCATTCCCCTGATAGAAGTGGGAGCCCCCGTCTATGCAAATCTAGGAGCTTGATAAATTTCCCAGCCGAGTTCGCCGATGTCTGACACCGTTTATTACGCCCCGTGTAAAGTGTACCGGGCTTAGGGGTCTGATATCGCGTATCACTACCGCTGCAATTCCCTCCATGATGGGACACGTCGGCCATCGAGTCGCGAATTGCCCGACAAGGGACATCCAGGGGAAGGTTGGGCAAAAATTTTGGGAAACATCGAGCCACTCCCTAAATGGCCTCTACATGCCGGGCTAATCCAATTGGCTAGAAGCCGACCGACGCGTGAAGCTTGCCTCTTCCAGGGAAAAATGTCCCGATAACGCGACCAACTTAATCAGCACCGATCTATAAGCTGGGTAAACTCTATAAGCTAGATTACTCCGTGCAAATTTGCCGACAGTGTTTGTTACAGAGCTTTCCAAATGTACAGAGCTCACGGATGCTCCGGCGAGAGCGTTCAACCCTGAATTCGAGAGATCGGCTACAATTGCAATAATTGAGTAAATTATTTTGTTCTCTACACTTCGTCCAACAATATCCCAGCGAAGGAAATAGGATGCCATTGAAAATACCTTTAGCAACGAAGTTAATTATCGGCAGTTGCTCCCGCTACAAGGAGATGTATAGAGGAAAATGAATATTTGACCAATTTTCGGGTGTAGCCGATTTTTCAAAATGGCGGCGAGATCTCGACGCATGGGAGCACCCTCGAGGGGGTTTTAGGCGTTAATAAATTACCGTTCGAAGAATCACGGTGTTCAGGAGTGGGCGTTCAATCCCTTGCAAAGAAGGTTGCTCCCCCAGGAAAATGTTTTCGGAAGCTGGGGCTTCATAATGTATGCTCGCATTCGCCGATGCGAGTTTGGTTAATAATTAACACCTACCACCACGGCCGTTCGACTACCCGGCGTGTATCTAGCGCCTTAAAGGGGCTCTTCCGTGGAGTTGCCAAAGCGGGGGCCGTGAAATCAGCCATCCAAAGGAGAGCTGACTAAAATCAAATTCCGCATATAATCCGAGGCCCTTTGAGTCCTGGACGTCCCCTGGCCGTCGTTTCAAAGGACCTCCGACGCCCTTTTCCAGCAGGCGTTAAATATCTTGCGCAAAAAAGGGATCCAAAATGGCGCCCGAAACTGCTCCGAAACGTCTGAGACGAGAGAAGCCCGATTTTGCGCGAAATTCCGCGTGGCTCTGTGTTTGTCGGTAAACGCGGCCACCGCATACGATGAAAGTTAACGTCCCTGCGTAATTTAATCGGGACCTTTTAGAAGCGGTGCTCTCGGAGCCTAAGATCCCGCTTTTACAGCGCACTATCCATCCAACAGAACCGTGGGGTTTGATCGTCCCCGTAAAGCACAACTAACTGCTGCGTCAATAATGATATATAGAGAGGGACGCCTTTATTCGCGTTACTTTATGCGCCACTAAGGGGGGAAGGCGCGAGCCGCAAAGTAAAGTGGAAAACTTTATCGATATATTCGCCCGGCGGCGTCTTTATAAGCTCCTCAGGATTCATAAAGCGACATTAATCTCTCGACGCGCGTCTCGTCGGCTCAACCCTTTAAGAAATTAGCTCCGCTCCCCGATAAATCTGGCCGAGCTTTCTTATTTCCTCCCCGCCTATTCCGACGTGGGGAGATTTAAGCTCCTCTGAATTTTCATTCCTCCTATCGAAGATCCTTCAGGATATCGACTCGATTTGCGAGACGGGGTTATTACAACGGACCCTCCTTTTACGCTCCCCGAGACCTTGCAATCCTAAATCTCTAGGGGATCCTTTGGGAGTCGCGAATCGAATTATTCTAATTATTTATATCCTTTGAACTTCCACGCAGCGGTGATACGGAAAACTTGGGCAAGACCAAAGATCAAGATCCTACTTTGAGAAACCAAAAAATTCACCGGATAATTCGTAAATTCAAAGAATAATGAATTAATGAATCTTTCGTTCAACGAATCTTTTTTTTTTCTCAGGGTCTTGACTTTTGCCTTGCATTTCATCGTTGTCAGGGGAAGCATGGGGTCGTCAGCGATCATGGGGATTTACCGTTGAGACTCATCGAGTCGTATTGCTCGGTTTGCAGGGGGCCCCTGTAGATGATGGGGTCCATGCCCGAAAAATCGGCCACGGTCCCCGTGTACAGCTCGCCGTCCACGTATACGAAGGTGCTGTTGTGCTGGGGGTCGTAGGGGCACATGGCCTGGCCCGTCCTCTCCTTCTCGACCGTGTAATTCCCTGGATGCACCACGTAATCCCGGCACATTGGCTTGAAGGCGTTGGTCGCGCAGACCAGGAGACTGCTCGGCCCGGTCTTCGCCAAGATCCTCACGTAATTCTGACAGTTCTCCTCGTCCTTCCCCTTCATCACGCACATCTCGACGTCCGTCTTCGGCGAGTACCAGGTTAGCCTCTGCTGCTCGGTCAGATCCGTCAGGCTGAGGTTGTGCACGAGGTTCCTGAAAATCGAGAGAAAAAAGAAAAAAAAATATCCATAAGTCTCCCTAAGCAAAAATCCCTCCCTCAACTTAAGCCAATATGAATCCTACCATCAGAGCTCCCGTTTATGAAACTTTCCTTCGCCCAGGAATTTTCCTGCTTTTTTTATTTATCTCTAGACCTTTTAACGCCATTAAAAATGAGATTTCACGGGTGGAGGGACCTTCCTAACAGCCTCCACATTCACGTTGTGGAGTTTGAAATGATTCGACGCATCCAGTTCTACCGAAAAGTTCTATAATGATCTCTAAGGTGCCGCTTTGACATCCCCTTAAGGGGTTACGTAATTTCCAAGAAATCGACTTTTTCCTTTATTATTATTCTTCGCGGAGGGATTATCAATGAATGTACTTCTCTCGGAACCGTGTTTCTAGTTATTGTCCGCGTGACAGCCCCGTGATATTATTTCGTTATCTAATTTTGGTGTTTTCATAATCGCGCGGATTTGAAGCAAGGCTCGAGCCCTCCTTTTTGTACGCGATTCACGGGGTAACGAGCGTTAACAATCCCCGGCGGGGAGCCGTATCGCGCTAATTCACATCCCATTCGCACGGCCGGGAAGGAATAAACTTTTGTCCGCGGCCAGCGAACTCGGCAAATCGGCAAAGTAGTATAATCCGATGACGTCCGAACGAACTCGATATCGAACTCGATTCGAGCCCCGTGCGACAATGGTTCGCGCGCGCATTGTCCGCGATTATCTCGCGCGAGGGAAGGCTGATTTCGGGAAATGCATTATTTATTTCACACGATAATAATCAGGGAATCTTCAAAGTGCGTCGCGAAAATCGCCGGGTGCGATAGTTCGATTAAAGCTACTACCAGCGACTGGCTAAAAATGAACGAAATAATTCAATCATAACGTTCCCGCTATATAAAAAAAAAAAACTTAGGAAGGGAGAACATTTTTAATACACAAAGTCTATTTTAATTCCCATTCTGTGTATCTCGATATTTTATAGAGGTTAAGTTAGGTTAGAAATGATACATGTTTTGCGTTTTCTTTATCACGAGCAATGAATGATTTTAAATCAAAATGAAATTCCATGGATCTGATTTTTTGAGGTTAGGTCGAGGCGTCATTCGACCCTCTCCGGATTCGAATCCGAGTTCCTGTAGTGGAACTGGCCTCTAATCGGTTAATGGCGAGCTCGGGTTTCCAAAGTTCAATGTTATGCCTTGGTTAACTTCCGGATCAGCCAATCAACGGCGAGGCTTCGAAGCTCGGTCGGTCAATTATGTAATTAAGCAAGGCTTAACATTGATCCACGCCGGTCGAGCCTAACGCGCGTAAGACGAGAGCTCTGCTCTTGTTCCCCGTCAAGTGTCAATTCCGCCGTGCGATTTCGGTCACTGGGGCGACATGGCCGGAAAATCGAGGCCCTCGATCCCGAAACGCAAAACCTTTGAAAATTCACTCCCGTCCGGCTCGCTAATGGATCGGGCAATTACGCGGCGGGAAGAGCATTTGGTGATAAAATATCAAATAAACAGAAAATGGAGCGGCGCGAGAGGCGCGGAAAAATCGACCCCCAGCGTCCCTTCGGATCGATCGAACGTCGATCAGGGATCGATAGGCCACCTATTAGGGATCGATCGACCGTGGCGATCTCTCATCAAAGGGATCACCTCCTCGCGGTTTTATTACGGACCACTTGGCCGTGATAACGTCCGACTGACCGGATATTATTCGATGGAGAGACCGGAAAAAGGAGGAAGCGGAGTAAACGCATCCGCGCTGCCCTATGGCCCGATACTTTATTTACACGACTGACCGAGGAAAAGGGAAGGAAGAGAGCGCGGAAAAAAAAATTCAATCTCCAATGGCCATCGCGATTTGAAATAATCGATCCCGGGCCATTACCTCGGCCCGAGGACAAGGGCTTTCAGCCTGGGATTTTCTCCATTCCGGATAAGCCCTCTCCCGATTAGCGCATTCACGTTTGCCCAATCGCTCCTTAATCGCCGATTCGATCCCGAGAGACCTCGATCGAGCGGATCGAGGGCCGAGAAATATCTGCATTTTGGGAAGCCGGAAGAGAATTCTAATTAGAAATCTGGCAAACCCGATCGCAGGTACTCTTCTCCGAGAACAAAAATTTCATCGAGCCAAAGAAATATCCCGTTAATTCAAATAATAATTATTTAACTAATATATAATAATTAAAACTCGAATAAACAGTATGTTCGTTCAGAATCGCGAAACCTTTGGTTTATTGAATTTCTTTTTTCTCGGTGCAAGAAGTCGTCGCAAAAAGGAGAGCGAACAGGGAGGCTCTCTCCTTTTCTTGAGAAGTTAGCGAAAAAAAAAATAACTGGAGAACAGGGTGGCTATTTTTTTTTCTGCTTGCGCAGGGGGATAAAAAGCAGGAAAACAGCCTTTCTCCCCCGTTCTTCATGTGTCCATCCTAGGTTCGTGAAATTAGGCTCTTCTGGGAGTCCCAGGGGAGGGCAGGTCCCCGGGGACGCGGCTTTTCCTCGCCGAAATCCCCGGGCAAGTTCACCGCCTCTGAGAGCCCTCCGCCAATTAGCGCACTCGCGCCGCGAGCAGCGTTTATGTTTACCTTCCTCCGACCAGCAGGTAGTTCCCGTCCCTGAGCACCAGTCGAAAGTAATCCGTGTGCGTCTCGTTTCCCGTGAACCTGAACACGTCCTCCGCACCTGCAACACGGAAAGGTTTTCGAGTCAGTCCCGTGAAGGGGAATTACTTGGAGCCCCTAATTGGACGGGCCGCAAAGACCGAGCCCGACCTGCGCGTTAAGTTTTCGCGCAGCCCGCCCGGAAACGCACCGACCGGCCCGCGGTTTGATAACGACGAATCGCGTCGGTTCATTGTTCAAGCAACAATTCGCCCGCTAACGAAGCCGCAAGGCTCCTCGGAAAGACCCGACGTATCGCTACGTATCGATCTTTCGTCTCGCTCGAAAGTTTCGGCGTCGTTTTTCCTGGGTCGCCATCACAATCCAGTGATAACGATAAGAGAAAGAAATTTCGGAGAAAAGAATAAAGAATGAGAATGTCGTCGAATGCGCTTCTTATGTAAAAAAAAAAGGGGAAAAAAATGAGATCTTTTAACGTGAGAAATTAATCTATCAAAAAATTGGTATACGCTTTTGTTATCACTCGATGTCGATGTCGCGAGGTCGCTTAACTCGGCTATTTCCTTTTCTCTCGTCGCGACTATAAAAAAAAAACAAACGAGGAGGCTGAGAGGGGAGAGATCGAATTTCCGTGGAGAGAGATCAAAAAGAAAAATATGGGTCCCTTTAAAAATAGGTACCATGCATGTTATGCAAGGCTCGATATATATCAACGGCCGAAACGCTGGGACTTCAATTCGAGCGTGCGATTAAACTGGGACGCGGCGTCTCGACGGCGACGTCCCGGGAAACGGGAGACGGCAAACGGGAAACGGGGACGTCGGTTCCTGGAGGAGACTGGCGGTGTCCTGGCCCGTTAAAAGGAATTCAAGCGGATAAGTTACGCCACGTCGAGCTCGCCCAAAGCGGGCCGGCACTTTCCTGCAATTCGGCGAAATTAAATAAACATTCCTCTTCGAGGCTTCCCTTGCCCCTACCTCCGCCTCGCCCTTCCTCACAAATCGAAGGAAGAAGTGAATTCGATGACTCCGAATACCTTAAAAATTAATTTAAAAATAACCAATCAAACAGAACACGGTTGGTTCGCGTTTTCGCAACTCTACCATGTTCACGGTTGGCAATTTTTCAACAAATTATTACCGGCAAACTACACACCGTAGGAAAAAATTGTACAGGACTTTTCGACTCCATTTTCGACAAGGATAACGCAGGGTAAATTGTGCTTCCCAATTTTATTGCGTTGGTACGTTAATGCGATGTTTGTATGTCGCCTTGAGTGAGTGATAAAGGGGGCCGCTGTAGTGCATGGGGAGCTTCGTAGAAAAACCTCGGCCAGGCCGAGCCACTATAGTGACGCTTGGTAACTATAGGGTTAAACCGTTCCCGATAGACCAGGTCGAGGGTCTTGAAGCGAGCGAACGAGTAAATGAACTACCTCGGCCATCTCGATACTCGAGCCGACAGTTTACTGCCACGTCGGGAACGCTGACACTAATGCGGCAACTACGGCACCGCTGACATGGCAGTGAAACATGCTGCTAAATGTCGGGACCCGTGACGTGGACAAAACGCCGCCTCTACCGGGCGGGATTTCCACTTTTCATTAAACGGCGCCATTGGATTCGTTAATGTCTCCCGAGGTCCCGGGAAACCACGGGACCGGAGCCAAAGTACGCCGCGAGGAGCGAGCGCAATAACCGAAGAACATAAATTTATTTAGATCATTTTTAATTTCCTTTTACAAATAACAAAATGTCCCTGTCTCCAGATTGAACGAAAGCCATATGCAATCATTTTTTCCACGACTCCTGATAAGGGATACAGGCGATGCACCTGCACTCCTGACATGCACCACGTGTCAGGTAGTACACCGGACGATAAATGAAGAAAATAATTCAGTAAATTGCGACTAGGGAGCGCAATTACCGAGGGATATGGCGCATTTTGATAAGTTCCCTTTCCTTTCGGGATAATAAAAAGTCCCTGTCTCCAGGTTCGACGAAAGCCATTTGTAATCATTTTTTCCCGGGACTCTGATAAGGAGTACAGACACGGTGCACGTAAGGCGGTACCTGGACTCTTGACATGCGCTCCGTGTCAGCTCGTACAGCGGGCGATAAGGGTCAAAAGTAATTCAGTAAATTGCGCCGGCACGGCAAGGTGCAGCGCAGGTTGCACGTGCGAGAACGGCCGCGACGACGATTTTCTTTCCCCCGGACGTGTGTTTCGCGATACCCGGGAATTGATTAGCTGAAAAGGTGGACGCACTCGTGGGGAGAAAATCCGCGGGGGCGAACTGGGCCACCGGCATTTCGGGATTCGTCTGGACCAGAGCCAGACCCATTCGAGTCGCCGGAGGACGTCCATCCTGGACGTCCATCCGGAGCTCCCCGAAATTTAAGTAACAACGTGCCACGACAATAGATCGTCCCAGGAACGAAGAGCAGCCGTCGTGGGATGCACCGAGTCGTACATAACCCGCCATTTGCCGAGTTATTGCATTATCGATCCTTTCACTTTATCTCTGCCCGTCACGACGGCGCATACAAATCCTTACACCACCTCCTAGCAAAAAGGCGTAAAATAAGAGATACTTATTTCATCAAATTTACAAGCAATTGCCATTTATACGAATAATCGCGCGTTATCGCCCCGCCCGAAACGAGATCAATGCAGAATATCCAAGAATTAATAAAATGAATGTAATTCCCTCGGAGACTTGGAAGTCTCATTTTTACCGCATGCCGGTCGTGTTGTAATTGTTGTTTAGTTCTTACCGGGTATTTTGTATAAATTTTCTGGATCGTCCCAGGGAATTGGAGGACCATTGGTCTCGGTCACGCGCGAAGATTCCCACACACGGTCTTCAAACAATTCCGGGTCAATTACACGAGGAGGGGGCATTACACCGGACACGGGTTCGGGGTTTACGGGGAGCTCGTCGAACTCGGATCGAACTTCGAACTTGGGAGCGCCGTTGGCGTTGGGGACAACGAGGTTAACCGGAAGCGAAGGATCCTGAATAGTCAAGGCCCGAAACAATTACGCCGGGGATGATCTCCGTTTACGGGGGCGAGTCGGTCTCTTCGCCTATAAGAGACGCGACAACGGCTCCGGATTATCCCCCTTTGCTTTCGCCCTCTTTCGTCACTTTGTGTCGAACTTCGATTGGATTCCTGATCGCGACTTGCGAGAGGAACTTGAATAAAAGCCTCCGAAGTGCGCACTCGAGTCGCCGACCGAGGTTTATCACACCAGGGTCTCGAACAAGACACCGATAAGGGACTCGAGAAAGGGCGCCCCCTCGGAAATTAGCACCCGACTTTCCTCCTCCCTTTCCCCTCGTTTTTCATCGGGGCCCTCGCGTTTCATTTACGAGAGCCGTCCCGGTAAATAAACGACTTTATTAATCCCTCGCCGGGGGAGGCTGCTCCGTTTTGGAGGCCGCCTGCATTATTTAACACCTCCGCGGCGTGCCGAGGTTGTGTGCCCGGCGGAGCAGGCCCTGCTAAATAATCCACTTTTCTGCGGACGGAATTGTTCTATAAATTACCCCCCTCCGCCCGAAACCCGTCGATCCCGATCTTCATCTCCTTCCTCTCTGCGCTTTCGCGAATCCGTGTAATCGGCACCCTTACGAAATCCCGATTTATATGTCTATAACATGGAGGTCGTATTCTAATTGCGCGCTAAATGATTAAATTCTCGAGAAAATTCCGACTTTCTCTGGGGTGGATAGGTACTCGGAAATCCAGCGTTCTCGCTGAAAAATACATCCGAGAGGGAATTGAAAATTATCTGGCAATTAAGTAGGGAGGATGCACGTCTGGTCTACGGGCGGACTACGGTCGAGCTGGAATTTTGTCGAGTTTCACTTGAGAGTTTCTCGAGGAAGGCACATATCTCGGGCCGGGAGATCGATCGATCCTTGGCTCTGGACATCGTAGCTCGATCGTTCCAGCTCTTCGCGGGGGGTTGATCGCCCCCTACGTCGAAGAAGTATGCCTTGAGAGAGAGGTCCTGCAGGACTCTAACGAAGGGGGAGCCATTAAGCTCGAGCCCTCTCGGCCCTGGGCCGACTTTATCGTCCTTGGACACATCCATGGATGCAGCGAGTCCTCATCCATAAGAGAGTGGTCGCCTTCGTCGTTAAGGGCCTCCGGGGGCGTGGGGCCCCGATGTGACACTCCTTCTGATTAAACGCGGCCGCGGTGGAGCCGCGAAGCGGTCGCCAAGTAGCGGAGGTAAACTCCAATTTCGCTGAGACAACAATCGCGAATCCACCGAGCGGGGAACGCGAAAACGGGGGAGGGGGAGGGCAATCGCCGGCCGAGGAAAAAGGGCGAAACGGGTAAATACGAATTCCGAAGATATATCGGAGACCCCTTTTCTTCTTTCCCCCCGTTGTCTCCCGGCCAGGACGCGGGAGGAACGCGGACGGCCAATTGGGAGGCGCGCGTTTTCCGCCCGGAATTCCGCGGGGAATATTTTTAATAGAATCCTTCATATCGCGGAAAAATAACCGTTCGCCTCTTCGCGGGGAAGCATCCGCCTCTGCGATTTCCAGGTGTGCATGCGAACGATAGATTCGTTCATGAGAAGGCCCGCCATATTGGAGTTGCAGGTTAGGGAACTCCTTGGGATTCCCCAATCTCCGGATATCTTTTTCTTTGAAAATTTTATCGAAACAGGTCTTCGACTTGTTCTTCGGCGCTGGGAATCTGAATTTCATCTGGGTCAATTATTATAAATTAAAGATATTCTGGTTCGTAGGAAAAGGCGAATTTCTGAAGATGCGATCCCGATTGATAAGAAAATATTGGGACGCTCAAATCTCAAGATATCTTTTTCGTTTAAATTTTTATCGAGACGGGCCTTCGACTTGTTCTTCGGCGCTGGGAATCTGAATTTCATCTGGGTCAATTATTATAAATTAAAGATATTCTGGTTTGTGGGAAAGCGTGAATTTCTGAAGACGCGATCCCGGTTAACGAGGAAATATCGGGACGCTGTTTCGAGACAATGTGCAATCACGAGTCATTGACTGGACTCCAGACGCCA